TAGGTTTTCCTAAAGGCAGACAAGACACCATTTTCAGGCAGATGCTCAAATACCGGACTTGAGTTATGAGAGCTACTTAAACTACATCAACAGATGGGTGAACCTCACAACTAACTCAGAACATATTCTGTAGGCAACAAAACTAGCAGAATTGTGTGCTTTTCTGACCAAAAGGAATCTAATGTTTCCGGAAAGAGGGCCTGGCCCTGAGCGGGCCATCTAGGCCAACTGGTAGTGTGTGGGTTCTTGACTTTGTGTAGGAAAGATTTCACAGCGCGAGTCCAGGTGGACGTTTAAAGCTGGGGACAGTGAAACCAGGTGGGGGGGAGGGGGAGGAGGGCCTGAGATAGTGGGGCATTAGAAGGGCCACAGAGAGAGCAGGAAGAGGTAAAGAGGAAGAGAAGTCCCTTCCAGAAACAGTGAGTCACTGGTGTTTAGGTGCCCTGGGCAAATGCTAAGGTTTTGTGGTTTTGTTTTTTTTGTTTATAAGATAAGAACTCTTTGCAAACATAATCACCCTTCCATATTCATCAAATACCCAATCAGCATTCAAATTTCTCCAATTCTTTCACAGAAGTATCTTTCAAGTTTGTTTGAATCAGAATCCAAATCTACTCACTGCAATTAGTTTATGTCTTCTCATTTAATCTATATATTTCTCCTCCATCTTTTTTTTTCTGGTAATTGACTTTTTTAAAAAATGAGATCATTTTTTTCTGTAGATTCCCAATAGTCTGGATTTTTTTAAGTAATTTTTTATTTAAAAAGATTTAGCACTAGCCAGTTTGGCTCAGTGGCTAGAGCGTCGGCCTGTGGACTGAAAGGTCTCCGGTTTGATTCCGGTCGAGGGCATGTACCTCAGTTGCAGGCTCAATCCCTGGCCTTGGTCTGGGCGTGTGTAGAGGCAACCAATCAATGTGTCTCTCTCACATAGATGTTTCTTTTCTTTTTAAAAAAAATATATTTTTATTGATTTCAGAGAAGAAGGGAGAGGGAGAAAAATAGATACATCAATGATGAGAGAGAATCACTGATCTGCTGCCTCCTACTAGGGATCGAGCCAGAACCTGGGCATGTGCCCTGACCGGGAATTGAACCATGACCTCCTGGTTCATAGGTCAACGCTCAACCACTGAGCCACCCGGGCCGGGCTCTGAAGACTGTCTTAATAACTACCCATCTCTGGACCCCTGTAGTCCCTATCAGTACCCAAATGCTGTCTAACCTGCACTCTGCCTGTTTGAAAGCTGTTTCGTATGTCACGTGTATCAGTAAAGATGTGATGGGTCCTTCCATGCACAGGACACTCAATAGCATCTCTAACAAGACCATGAGCTGCAGGAGGGAAGGGCCTCCTGTGATACTAGCTCAGGGGGCCAGAAGCGCCACAGCTCAGAATGCGTACCTTGGAGTCGACCTCGCCCACAGGTGAATCCCAGAGACCTGTGACCCTGAGTGGATTACTTCATCTCTCAATTCTCATTTTCCTGTAAATGGAATGACAGCCACTCTCTCACAGAGATGTTAGGGTTAAATCACATCAAGTGTGAGTACTGTCTTGTCTTCTCATTCGCAGTCCTCCATGTGGCTTCTGACTATTTTAGTGTCCCCGTTCTTACCTGTCCTTATCCGTTTTGGAAAGAGGGGGAGCAGAGGACTCCAGCAGGGTCGTTGCCATGGAGATGGAGTTCATTCAACACTCCTTGAATGCCTAAGTACCTAGGAGATCCACCTTGCCATGGGTGTGATGTCCCTTCCCATAATGTTTAGGATGAACACCTCCCTTTCCCTAGCGTCACCCCAATATTTCCCCTGGGAAGAAATGGAACTTGCTCAGAACTAACTACAGTGCTAACCCATCCCCACCACCAAAAGCTCAACTTCAAAAGTGAGGAATATAACCAGAAACGAAGACAGGATGTGATCTTTGATCTTCTGATGGGGCAGAAATTTTTCTCTGAATTTTCCCTAATTAGAAAGGCTGTTCCAGTACACAGATGAAAGCTCTGTTTACAGAAGTGTTTCCCTATTTTTTTTTTGTCTGAGCACCTCCTGAGTAAAAAGCATTTGAACATGTACATACACACATACATATCTACTTGTCACTTAACAAATATTAATTGAGCATTTCCTATGTGCCTCTTACTGTTCTGAGTGCTGAAGATACAGAGGGATTGAACCAAGGCTAACACAACAATAATAAAGACCTTTGCCTGGTTATTTGTATTTCTCCTACACATAAGTTGTTTTGGTGTTGTTGTTTTTTAAAAAAGGATGAAAAATATGGTGTAAGGGATATGTACTGTGGAGAAAAAATAAAGAAAAGGGGACAGAGAATGTAGACTGGGCATTTTAAATAGAGAGGCCAGAAAAGCACTCACTGAAAAGGTAACATTTGAGTAAAGATCTGAGAGGTGAGAGTGGACCACGTGTGTATCTGGGGAAGTTTCACAGGCAGCAGGAACAGCAGGATGTACACCTGGCATGTTCGGTGAGGAGGCCCGTGTGCTGTGCCAAGGAGCCAGGGAGGGAGTGGAGGAGGCACTGCGGGGCAGGTGAGTGGAGGAGCTCTATGACTGGGTTTTACTCTGTGTGAGATGGGAGGGTTTTGGATCAAGAAGCAGCATGAGCCCTGGTCAGTGTGGCTCAGGTGGTGGGGTATCCATCCCATGCACTAAAAGGCTGCAGGTTCGATTCCCAGTCAGGGCACATGCCAGGTTTGTGGGCTCGATCCCCAGTAGGGGTGTGCAGGATGGATGTCTTGCTTTCACATCAATGTTTCTCTCTCTCCCTCTCCCTTCCTCACTCTCTAAAAATAAAAATCTTTTTTTTTTAAGTGGCATGTCCTGAGATCCATCACTCTAAGTAGAGTGGAGGGGCCAACACTGGATGGGGAGGACTCGTCAAAAGGCCGCTGCAATATCCCAAATAGCGGTTTGGCCAGGTGGTAAAAAATGGGAAGTAGAGCCGTAACCGGTTTGGCTCAGTGGATAGAGCATCAGCCTGCGGACTGAAGGGTCCCAGGTTCAATTCCGGTCAAGGGCATGTACCTTGGTTGCGGGCACATCCCCAGTGGGGGGTGTGCAGGAGGCAGCTGATCGATGTTTCTAACTCTCTATTCCTCTCCCTTCCTCTCTGTGAAAAATCAATAAAATATTTTTTTTTTAAAAATGGGAAGTAGAGCTAAGAGAAGTTCACAGTACTGGTATATTATATTAAAAAGTTAACGGGGTTTTTTAAAGAAATCTGAATCCTACATGTTCTTTCCCAAACTCAATAAGCCATCTTGCTCACCCCTGGGATAGAAACGACCCTCTCTTTGAGAGACCGCTGTTTCACCATGATTGGTTGGTTGACTGGTCCCAGCTGACCTGAATTTCTGCCTGGCTTTTTGTCTTGACACTTCTGCGCTCACTTCCTCTTTCTCTTCGTCTTGCCAGTCTCAGATACCAGAACAGGTTTCCTCCACAGGCCAAGCCTGACTACCCACACAGAGGCTGCTGACTGCATGTAGGAATTCCCTCCTTGAGAACGTTTGTGGTCTCTGTGTCGACTGCACCCAACCTCTGGGGCCCACCGTTAGGAAATAGACTTGCTAGACCCAGATGTGTTGTGGAGTTCCATAAAACATGAGCCTGGGGAGACCCAGGCCATTTGCTAAAGCAGCACCTCTAAGGGAGGCCAAGGGGGGCTCCAGCGCACCACGGAGCAGAACAGACAAACACGGGGTCTGCACGGTGTGCTCCCCTTGCTCTGAAATAGGCTCAGGGGGTTGTAAAGGGCCACACAGAGAAAAGCCAGAGGGGCTCTGTGTGCCTAAAATGCAGTTCGTGGAGATCCCAGAAGATGACACCCTTGGGGAAAGTACCCTTGACCCCTAGGCAGAACTCCAGATGTGTTTCTCAGACCTGGTCAACTCTGAAGCTGCCACTGCCACACTGGGTGGGAACTCAGGAGTTGGTGGAAGGCAGGTACTATTTGAAACCAGATTCCATGGGTTGAGAAGGATTGATACAAGATATCTGGGGTGCTCTCTTAGAATGTCAGAGCTTGAAAGAATTTAGAGATATTTTACAGACAAAGAAACTAAGGCCAGGACTTTCCCAAAGCCAAACATACGACTATTAGAGAAAGAACCATGAGTAGAATCCAAGTCTTCTGATTCCCAATCCAGTGATTGATATATATATATATATAAAACAGTAATATGCAAATTGACCAAACGACTGCTCAACCAGTCTCTATGAGGTGCACTGACCACCTCTCGGTTCCTCCCCCCAGCCGGCAGGCTCCGATCGCCCAATGGCGAATGGAGAATCGGGGGTGGGTGGCAGTGGGGGGCGGGGCCAGCTGCTGGCAGCCGGGGAAGATGGCCCTGATCACAGGCCAGGCCTAGGGACTGTACCTGTGCACGAATTTCATGCACCGGGCCTCTAGTTTTAAAATAAACAACAGCAATGTAACACTGAAACCTTTAGAGGCCTCAGCTGCTCCCACCAACCTCTCTAATTATACTAGGAGCTCTGAAGGTTCCCTTAGGGCAAAATGACCTCCTGGTATTAAGATCTTAGAAAGTTACACTGGGATTCTTATGACTCACAAGAGAGAGAAGTACAAAACCCAAGACACATGAAAACCAAGAAATTCAAGAAAACACTGGTTTCGTAAAGCCTGAAACAGCCCAAAGGTGGACTATGTACTTCTTATTTGCTTGGTCCAATTAAGAGAGTACTAGATGTCCTGTTTTCAAAGGGGGGGGGGGGGACAAATAAAAGGATCCTTAAAAATTATGAATAGGATCATTTAAAAACTAGTCATGAATTATTCATTTCAACCTCTGGGGCTACCAACTTTTTCACAAGTAAAAACATTGATAAGAGAATGGACCTGCTCTCCCAACCTCTGCTGACAGACAGAAGGCAAATATGATGCTGGTTAACAAGTAGTAAGGGAATAATCAACCAAACTTGACTTTGGGTGGTGGGCACACAATGCAATAGACAGATCGTGTATCATAGAAATGTACACCTGAAACCTACATAACCTTATCAACCAGTGTCACCCCAATAAACTCAATTTAAAAATAATAAAATAAAAACATCAGATTATTTATATTATATATTATATATTATATTGTTATATAATTTTTGTTATATAAAACTGATCTGTAAAATAAAAATCTTGGATTACCTGCAGCCCCTCCGCCAGCCGCTCAGAACCCCTGTGCCAGACGGAAGCCGTCCTCCACCTCTGGGCTTGCCCGTGGTCCTATCACCACCTCGGGATCCCTGCTCCGGGTGAACCTGGCCCGGAGGGGAGTGGCCAGTCTCCCGTCACACTAGCTCGCTGCTATGCCAGGCCTGGGGTGGGCAGGCAGAGCCCTGCTGGTGCGGCCACGTGTCCAGGGTTGCCTGGGACGGCCTGGCTCGCACCTGCTCCCCAGCTCACACTCTCATCAGTCTCAAAAGTTGCCCAGTTTGGATAAACATGATATGGCCAACCAAACTCTACGTAACGCCTAATCATCTACAAAACACTTATATGTTTACTTGTTTGTTTTCTGAGCATCTGACGTGTCAGGAAAAAGAAACACTGAACCAGTCACCAGCAGTTTTCTCATCCAAAGGGACTTTCAAGTAATACTGACACCACGTGGGCTTTGAAAGGACCTGGGGGGGCGGGGAGGGGGAACTGCTCCTGCCAAGCTCTCCTATAGGCTGAGCTTCGATGGGAGGAGCTTAGGGGGGACAAATGGGAGCCAATCGCTGACACAAGTCTGAAACCAGAGGATGATCAGATCTGTCATTCCTGACTGTATGTCAATTTTTCACGTTATCCTTCAGCCCAGACAACTTCACATGACATTGTTCAGTCCTGTTTCTGGCACAAACAACTGGGCCTTTTTGGGTTTATATTTACTCTCTGTTTAGAGGAAAAGAGGAAGTTAAAAACATTTTTTTTTTTAAGTTTCAATCAGTTCAGGGCTAGACCTTGTGTGCTGCTGCAGCCAACTGTTTATTTCAGAGAAGCATAAATTCCGTTTATTTGGAAAAGTCACTGGTCTAGACAGCACAGGTACCGGCTCTGTGCTCAAGAGAAAAATACTGATACTGTCGTGCAGAAAGGGAGAGTTGTACCTGGCAACCTACACTGGAGACTAGAAGGAAATATATCAGGATGTCAAGAGGGGTTCTGCCTGAGTATAGAGACTTCAGAGGGTTTGAACTGTTTGTCTAGCTTTCTGATTTTCTATCTTGATCTAGTTTATATGCTAATCACCAAGGGGAAAAAAATCACCAAGTTACCCACCAACACCTCACTCCCCAGGGGCGGTGGTGGGGGGAGGAGGCTCACAGGTAAGCCAGGCCCAGGTCAGGTAGGAGGAGAAGCTCAGAGCAGCTCCTGACCTCCCAGGCCTGGGGCCGGCCCAGGGCTCCGAGGAGGGCAGGGTGCAGCTTACCCCGTGGCTCCCGGGAGTGAGACAGACACCCGTGGGTCCAGTGGCTGCACTGCCCTGTCAACTGTTAAACGCACAGCCTTGTGGTTAGAGCCCCACCTAGGCCATCAAGGCTGCCAGGATAGGTGGACACCTCGCTGGCTCTCCCTGGGTGTGTGCCCTTGAACACGTCAATTAGCCTCTCTGGTCCTGTTTTCTCGTCTGTAAAATAGGAATCACACTACAGTGGCTGTGGGTACTAAGAGAGATGATTCACAGCAAGGGCCCGGCGTACAGTAAGATCAAGATCAATGTAAGCCATTATTAGGTCTCGGCCACGAAACACCAGTCCTCAAGTGCACTCCCCAAGCCATGTGACTGGGTCCCCAAACAACTAGTGAACGTCAGAGAATAAAGCCTTTCTCTCCCCTCTTCTCCGAGGAAGGCAGGCCTGGAGCACAGTGTCTGCTGTGAGCCCGGTGCTCCAGGGAATGAGGGGGATGGGGCAGCCCAAGGAGGTGGCCAATAGGCCCAGGGCCCCACACTAGGGGCCAGAAACCCTGCCTTCCAAGTTACAGGGATTCTCAATTCCTGCCACCGCCAGGGCTGCCAGCCACTGCCTTTGACAAGGAGATGAGTAACTCAAGTGTGAGCCCGAACTTGGCAAGGGGACAGCAAGCCAGAAGCCTCCAGGCAGGAGCGCCAAGCAGGGCCACCTGCTGAAACGGCTTGTCTGCGGGCAGCCCTCACGTGGAGGTGGCACTCCGCTGCCACTGGCAAGTTCAGGTAGGAACAGTCGTGAACATTTCAGAGGCCCGACGAACTTCCCATCTGACTTCAAAACTTTGAAAGTTTTAGGGGCCCAAGCTGAAGAGATGGCCTCACGCTTAAAATCACTGCAGTGCTGCCCGGGCAGCGTGGCTCAATGGTTGAGCCTCGACCTAGGAACCAGGAGGTCATGATTCGATTCCCTTTCAGGGCACATGCCCAGGTTGCGGCTCAATCCCGTGAGGGACGTGCAGGAGGCAGCCCATCAATGATTCTCTCTCATCACTGATGTTTCTCTCTCTCTCTCTCTCCCTCTCCCTTCCTCTATATGTGTGTGTTTAAATCACTATAGTGCCTTAACTATGTGACATAAAGGGCAGCCCCCAAAAGTTCAACAGCAAATCAAATTGCAGAGTTTCACGGCTCTCTTGAGCCAAAATGCATTACATTCATAGGTTAACAGAATTTTCTTCCCCAAACTTAAAATTACCTCGTTTTTTTAAATCAAAGATATAAATAAACCACCTGATGTCCATTTGGAGAAAATAATGACATGGCTGTATTCATTACAGGGGTGCGTGTGCTCCGTGCTCCTTACGGGGACCGCCCCCCTGGCTTGCTTTAGCCCCAGAAGTCCCACGTCCTACAAAAACCCTCAGTCCCTGCAGACAGGATGGCGGTCCCCCTGTCGCTGGAACATGATGTGTGTTGTGTGCAGAGGAAAGCAGAGCAGACACAGTGACAAATGCAGAACTGCCAAATGCCAAGTTTGTTTGTAGCAACAGCTTCCAGTTCCTTCTCGTAGTAAAAAAAAAGAAAACACCAAAAACTGAAAGCCACACTTGCCACCCCCTCCCCCCTTTCTTTTCACTCTTCCAAAACAGAGCTAGGAAGGGAGTCCTCCTCCCAGGGTACCCCTGGATGGGGTGCAGGACTGACTGCTGAAGCGGTGACCACACAGCCCAGAGAGCTCCGGACCCAGCTTGGGCCGGACAGGAAGCGTCAACCTCTATCCCTCCCACCTCAGGCCCGTTCAAAACAAACCCAGACCGCTTGTGATCTGGGTCATCTAGCGCAAGAATGTGTCCTCAAGCTCAAAATCCAAGAGGCTTGAAAAAAATCAAGATTCACCACACACACACACACACACACACACACACACACACACACACACACGGCATTAAACAGATGAGGGAGGAGTCAAGAAAAGTCTGTGTTACAGATCTCTGGATGGAGAGCGAGGCACTCACTCTTCTACAAACTGTCGAGCAGGGACTCCAAGCTGGCTCCCCACCCACAACGGTGGAGCCCAGCTCACGCGAGAGGCGTTTAAACCAAGGGTATTTCTGCCTCTGGTGAGGTTAGCAACCCGCTTCTAAGAACCTCAGTTTCAAACTGAAAGGTAAGACTATATAAGGCAAGGAAGGTCACACACTTCCTGGACCCAAAGCCACACGGAAACCATGGC